GAGACAGAGAGAGGCAGTATCCCCAGATGACTTGGATCACAACGACACATATCTCGTGATGTCGAGAGAAGTCATCACAGCGGCACACCACGCCACCACAGCGAGGGCCGGAAACACGCCGAGAGGGACATGACCGACCAAGCCTCCGGGTGGTGCTTACCTGATACGCCGCCGGCCGAAGTAGTGCGAGGAGGCGCGCCTCTCCTCCTCGCTCGGGTAGCTGGACGGGCCCCTCTTGCCCGGCTGCGAGTCGAGCTCGCTGGATTCCGGGTAGCCGATCTGGTTGTTCTGAACGTCCGACAAGCTGGAAGAGGCTGAAAAGGCGCGGCGGGTTCGAATGTGTTTGTAGAGCTGTAGACGCGTGGCGTTTATGTTTTATCACCGACTTAACTCACTCAGCGAAGCTATTCATAGCAGCGGCCGAAATATGCAAGGGAGGTATTTCGGTTTGGAAAATAAAAAGTTGTGAATGGGAAACACTCAAAAACCTTAGTGACGACATGCGCTCGTAGTATGCAATCTTGGAAATAAGTTAGGTACAAAACCACGCATAGACCAACTCACGAATACCGAGATATCACAAATGATCGTGCAATTTGCGGTGTTGGGGGTCAAACCGCAGAAAGATACAAACCCGGGCCTTACGATGTCGAGTTGTAACAAATTTCATCAAACTCACACAGAAACCTGGCTCGCCGACAGAAGGTTCTGTTTCCAGCCATCCTGGGCGTCAAAACCGGGGGCAGGGGGGGGGGGGGGCATGGAGTCCCGCTTGGAGCCGTCCGCACGCGAGGTGATGCCGGCACTTACGCTCCAGTCTAGTAGAGTTAAGGTCATCGGTGGCAGCCGAGGTCGAGTTTCCGGCGGCACCCGGCAGCTGGCTCCGGTCAGTCTCCGAGGCAGACAGCGCCAGGCAGCAGATTACCTGGGGCGACACAGCACCAGTCGGTCACAGACGCTGCGTGCTACAGCGCTGGCCGAGACCAAAACGGTAAAACGTGTAAGCTGATTTCTGATTGGTTGAAAAACGTGCTAGAAAACTCCGCTGATGAGACGACAGTCGCGGCATTCGTTGCTGTCTGGAAAAGTAATCAACTTCTCGCCTTCTAGTAATTAATTTGTGTTCGATGAGCCCATGGATCCGTAACCTTCACAGCCGCTTGAAAAAAAATATCTGACAAGTGACAGTGCCTGGAAAAATGTGGGCTTACTTGAATCTCAATTACAAAGAATGTCGGGAAACCGCCACAGCGCAGACCACAAAGTTATCCACGCTAACGAACGCCTGTCCAAGCCCGCCACTGGACGGGCCTGCTCGCACCAACAGCCGACACCGTTCCCCGTCCCGCACCCGACTACCTCGGAGAGCAGTGAACCGCAGCACACCTCGCAACTCCAGCCGGCCGCCGCGCCCGCGGGCTGGCCACGGCCACGTACCGGGCAGGAGAGGCCCTGGTCGGCGCGGCATCTCTCGTCGGCGCCGATCACCGGCGGCAGCAGGCTGGGCGCCGGCGTCGTCGACGTCGTCGTCGTCGTCGGCTCCGCATCCGCCGTCGTCCACGTCTCCGCTGCCACGATGTCCTCCTTCGCCGTGGTGGCGCTAGCGGTGGTGGTCGGGCTGGCGGTGGTGGTGGTGGTGGTGCTGGTGGTAGTGGTGGTTGGAGTGGTGGTGGTGGTGGTAGCTGACGTGGTGGTGGTCGTCGTCGTTGAGGTGGTGGTGGTGGTGGTTGAGGTGGTGGTGGAATTCGGCGCTGGCGTGGTTGTGGTTGTGGTAGTGGCGGTGGTGGTAGTGGTGGGGGTTGTGGTGGTCGATGTTGTGGTAGTGGTGGTCGCCGCAGTGGTGGTGGTCGCAGCGGTAGTGGACGTCGTGGTAGAGGTGGTCGTAGTAGAAGTTAGCGCCGCGATCAGACCACCACCAACCTCCGGATCCACGGCCTCCTGCCACCGCTGGCCCGCCGCCGCCCTCGCCTCAGCCCCTCGCAAGGCGACGGCAGCCGTGACCGGCGTCAGCAGACTGGGCGCCGCCGTCGTGGACCCGTTCTCCGAGCGGTCCTGTTTGACGGTGGACTCAGCGGCCGTCGCCGCCTTCGCGCTCGTCGGCCGCGGCGTGGTAGTCGTCTCGGCGGCGGCGGCGGTGCCGTTCGCGCCCGGCTGGGCGGTGGTTGGCGCCAGGCCCTCATCGCGCGCGCCACCGCCGGCCGCCACTGCGCCCGTGCCTGAGTACGGCACGGGCACCAGCGTCGTCTCCAGCCGGTTCACGTCCAGCGGCAGCCCAGTGGCCGGAGACTGCTCCTGCTCCACGACAGTCCAGTCCTCCTTGGCGGGCAGCGGCGGCGGCGGCGGCGCTGGCGGTGGCACCATCGTCGTCTCCGGAACGAGAGTGTACGGCACGGCGGTGCTGGCGATCCGCCCCTGCGGCGACAGGGGCTCCACGTCGCTGAAGTTGCCGGTGTCGTTGCCAGTCAAGAAGGGTCGAGGGAAAAGGCTGCCGTCCGGTCGGTGGTGCGCGTCGGTCTCGGTGGAGGTATGGTTGGTGTTGGCCAGCAGGGCCTGGTGCTTCTGCCACTCCATGATGTAAAGGGTGGCCATCGCTATCAAACTGAAACAGACCGAGTCTCGTTTGACAGAGGCTAGCGCGTAAGTTCAGTCGCAAGCTCTTATGGGCAATTAACGTAGCTTGAAATTAATACATCTGGCCAAAGGATGCTACAAAATAGCAAGCTTTGGCACGATGACAACCTGCTATCACAACCGTTCGTAGCGCTTGGTTTTATAAGTTCATAATGAATGTATTTAGCAGCATGCAATAGTTGTCACGTGTGCTATGCTAAGAATGCAAAATATCACTCGCGTAATATGAAATACATCGATGTATGATTGCTCGGTAAGACGCTCAACCATTTCTGTGATGCATTTAGGACATTGTTGAATAAAGCATATCGACTCGAATGGATTCCTCAGTCGGGTAACATCGAATCAAGGTCCCCGCAAAGAAAATCGTGTTGCGTTGTTGCTGACCCCGCACCCAAAGCGGTCCCAGCAGGGTAATTTTATATTTAAATAATTTTATCCCTTTGTGCGGATCGAAGTCAAGTAATTTCCACGCCACACGAGTGGCCGCCCCAAAGGCTGACAGTTAATGAACCAGCCTGCCCTGCGCAGATCGCAGATGCTGGCTGGCGTGCGTTGATGGCACTGAACACGATGTTACATGCAGTAACTGACGAGATCGCCAATCACGGACCCAGTGAGGCCCCCTCCCAGTGGCGGCCTCAAGAGACCCCCAGTTTCGTCTCGCACCATGGCCCGTACAGGTGACGGTGGGAACACAGCCAAAACAAACATCACATGGTATGAAAAGCAAGAGACACTCACCAGAAGAGCATGACTAGGATCAGGACGCAGACGCCGCCCTGTACCAGCCGGTTGTGCAGCAGGCCCTGAGGCGGCTTGGGCTTCCGCTTGTGGATGTGGGATGATGAAAGGTAGCTGGACGCTCGACTCGTCACTGAAGTAACACAAAAATGGATGTGGCGATAGGCAACATACAATACAACCACTGAGACAAACATGAACGCACTCAAGACGCCCATTCAGACAAAGATTCGAGCGATAACATCTCAAGACTGCAGGTTCCTAGGTTAGCATGAGCAGTAACAATGAACCCACTTCCTGATCTGAAGTACGGCTTCACTGCATACCACCAGCGACGCGTCAGTAAGAGGTGCTAAGCAACAGTGAGCAAAGTTACATCGAAGACAAACCATCCACACCTAAGAGGCTTCCTAATACCCATCAACACCCCGCACAGGCTACCTGCGCCAGTCCCTTGGTCTCATGCGTGGTCTCCCTATCGTCCGCCTCTTGTACCTGTGGAGATGCTGCTGGTGGACTTGAGACTGCCGTGGCGCTTCAGCTTAGCCAGCCGCCGGTTCATCCGCTCCAGCTCCTCGATGCGGTTCTCCAAGGTGCCGGTGACCTTGCAGAGCTCCTTCACTGCGCCGATGTTCTCCATGAAGATCCGCTCCTGCGGCGGTGACAGGTTAGTCTCTGTCACAGGTCACTGTCCACAGCCACGCTCCTGACTCACAGTCTCTGTCACAGGTCACTGTTCGCAGCCATGCTCCTGACTCACAGTCTCTGTCACAGGTCACTGTCCACAGCCACGCTCCTGACTCACAGTCTCTGTCACGGGTCACTGTCCACAGCCACGCTCCTGACTCACAGTCTCTGTCACAGGTCACTGTCCACAGCCACGCTCCTGACTCACAGTCTCTGCCGCAGGTCATTGTTCGCAGCCACGCTCCTGACTCACAGTCTCTGTCACAGGTCAGTGTTCGCAGCCACGCTCCTGACTCACAGTCTCTGTCACAGGTCATTGTTCGCAGCCATGCTCCTGACTCACAGACTCTATCATAGGTCACTGTCCACAGCCACGCTCCTGACTCACAGTCTCTATCACAGGTCACTGTCCGCAGCCACGCTCCTGACTCACAGCCTCTATCACAGGTCACTGTCCGCAGCCACGTTTCTGACTCACAGGCCCTGTCACAGGTCACCGTCCGCAGCCACGTTTCTGACTCACAGCCCCTGTCACAGGCCACTGTCCGCAGCCACGCTCCTGACTCACAGCCTAGGTCACTCTATCATAGGTTACTGTCTGCAGCCACGCCCCTGACTCACAGCCTCTATCACAGGTCACTGTCCGCAGCCACGCCCCTGAACCAGCTCGGGCGGTCACCACGGCTCTGACTCTGGTCAACACTGCCGCGGACCAGCGACAGCTCTTGCACGCAACCACAGTGACAGCCCAGCCATAGAGATATCCTCGCATTAATGCCGACTGGGACGGAAGCATGTTATCCATGTCACCACCATCACAGCTCAAGAGAACTTCAGCGGTGGTGTCGCCAGTGTCGCGCAGCTCAGTAAATGTTCCCCACATGACCAACACGTTTCGCGGACCTTCCATATCGACGCCATACCGACACTGCCACAAACCCGCCGATGCCTCAAGTCATCCGGACCACCACCGCCAGCGCTCAGATAACTCTCTCCGCACCATCATCCCACCACTCAAACGTGGCGCAGGCATACTCTCAGAAGATTCCCAACGTGCCGCCATCATCGCTACGCCTAGCGACACCACCATCACACCTGGTGTCGGCATTGCTACAACCAGCGTTACCACCACCACACCCATTGTCGCCATTGCCACATCCGCGCCACCACTGCGCGGCCCGCACGCACCTTGTTGACGACCAGGAAGTTGTCGACGGTGCGGCCGCTGGGGAGGAGGACGTCGCCGGCGGGGCGCACGGCGTCCGGCAGAATACGCTGCACCTCCTGGGCGATGACGCCCGTGTCAGCCGCCTCCTCCAGGCCGACGCTCTCGGCGAACTCGTCGACGTAGTTGTACTTGACGACACGCAGCTTCTGCACGTTGTTCAGCTGCTCCTTGGTGTCCAGCTGGCGGGGTCGGGGCGGAGCAAGCGGTTACGAGTGGGGTTGGGGTGAGATCGCGTAGATGAACGTGAGCCTTTCGGTGTTTGTTTCTCAAGCCTTTGAAAGAATTTCTCACGCGATGTGAGATCCGCCAGGTGTAAATGTTTCCCAAGGCTTCTCCATGAAGGTCAAGCATCGCGAAACATGAAAACAAGGTTCTGAATAGCTTTCGCGCCGTGCTGGTGGAGGACGGGTTCAGTGAAACCGCGCGCTGGGCCGCATACCTCCTGAATTTCGTCCTTGACGCGCCGGTCGCTGGGGTTCATCACGTGCCCGGTGAGCTTGAGGTTGCCGTGCACCACCAGCGCCTCGTCCGGCTTGTCGGTGTTAATGCCGACGCGACCCACGTGGTAGGTGGAGTCCTGCGTCTGGCCCTTCTGCCAGCACAGCTCCACGTCCGACTCGAACTGGCCCGGGTTGGACGCCTGCCGGCACACCAGAGAGGGGGGGGGGGAGGGGGGGGGCAGGGTCAGCGCTGGCGGACGAGCTGGAGGCAGCCGCTGCAGGCGGTGCACAGCTCGCGCCACGGAGGAGGAATGGTTAGGAGGGACACAGGATAGAAAAAGACGGTTCAATACGAACATTTGCGCACACTCTGCGGATACACATGTCATGGCACGGCGTAGGATCATCGCCGCATGTTCCGCTTCCGGTGGCGGGGGTCACCTGCGTCGTTGTGTTCTCGCGCGATACCAAGCGTGCCGTCATGATAAACTGTTCGACTTTTTAAAACACATATAGGGAGCTCGCATGAACGAAAAACAATTTGCGACCACAAATTGCCGGCGAATGCCTTTGCCTTCAACACAATAGATCAACCGTGGCAACCAGAAGATGCAATGGCTTTCCTAAATTTTGACTGGAGGTGTTCACTTACGAGGGGGTATTTACTGTGCGATTCACCATAAAGCAACAACCAACACCGAGCCATGCGATATAATACGCGGGCAAACTAAAGCATGTCGAGTAGACGGGGAGAGAGAGCAGCCCCGAATGCGACGAGAGCGGTCGGCAGAGGTACGGAGCGCAGCGGCGACCGTCCTGTTTGATCAATACAGGATCCTCGCCCAAAATAAGTGATACACCAGCCCGGCGCCGGCCAAGGGCCTCCAACAGATGTCAGACCACTCCCCATTCCTTTCGGGGTGGAGCCGCCCTCTCCGGGCACGGTCTCGGGTCTGCCGACCAGCCGTCCAACACCTGCTGTGGCGCCGACCCTCACCAGGCGCCTGCGGAGACCCTGACGCACGCCGTACTTGTACCGTACCTGACGCACGCCGTACTTGTACGCTATGCGATGGGAATACTCGAGGCGCTGAGCCTCATGTCGAGCATCGGATCGCGATATAATGCTTTCGTGACGCCCAGATGTGTTAGATGTGTGCTGAACCAACGGCGACAACGAAAAACCAGGGACGGGGCTCATATGACAAGCGCAGCGAGATGTTTCCCACGTGTTTTCGTTGCGGCATAAATTTTCCTATGTGACACGCTCGTTACACTTTTGACGCCTTCCTACTACGTGCATGCCCCCTTCACTTTGTGCAAGAAGCCAGCACCAAAACTGAGTAAATGCAGGTCCGGGATCCAGCGGGCTTCCAATGAAATCAGTTAACAAGCCGCAAAAAGACCGTGTGACTCGACAAGATTTCAGGACATGTTCCCAGAATCGCGAATTTAAGCTTGTCCCAACAAACGCCAACGAAGAGTACCTTGCCAACAATAGTGACATCCTATTCTTCTATAGCATTGCGCATGACCACAAAACGGTCATATACGTGCTCAGATAGCCACCAAGAAATCAGTGAGATCTACACAGCGTTCTTGCCGGGCTACCCATCACTGCGGACAACAGGGTCGGCAGCAGTATTACGGGGAGAGGGTACATCTCCACAAGATAGGTCAAAGTGGCCGAGATTATGTCATGAATTTCTTGCGTGCCAAACGTAAGAAGTTGCAAATTTTAGGCATGTAGTATCTTTCGTTTTGTCAGATTTTTGTTCTTTCTGCTCTAAAAGTTCTGCAAAGCATTTTATGCTTGCATATTTTTGCCTAAGGGAGGCCACCATACGTTGTACCATATAGTGGCACAAGCATAACGTAAGCACGTTAGGCGATTACATAATGGCGGCGTGTGTCGAAGCAACATGCATGAATGGGTGGCTCAAAACTGCTTTTGAAAAGACATCTTACTTCTACCGAAAAGCACATGTGTTTAACTTTTCTTGGGAGAACCAATATCTCTAACGCCACTGCACATAACGTTGTACAGCGGACTAAAGGTTCCTTGCAAGCAATCCAATTTTAGTGATGGTTGCCATTTGCTCCAGTCTGAACGGATTTCCATCCCCCTTCCCACTTCACAGGTGGCTGCGGGGAGCGTTGCAGACTGGTCTGTGCCCGGGCAATGAAATGGGGACACATAACGGCACCATACCGGCCCGCAACGCCGCGTCCAGTCCGGCATCACGCCAGTCACCCCGCGCCGGATCCCGCCAGTCACCGTCACACGGCAGCCCAGACCAGCATCACACCCAGACCGTGACGTCAGGCGCAACATGCCGCGCTGCATCCGTGTGTGTGGGAGGGCCGGCCGACACGCGCCCGGGCCATAACGCCAGGAGAGGGGGGGGGGGGGGGGCACCGTACCCGGACGATAATGCGCTCCGTGGCGAACTGGATCAGCGGGTGTCGGCTCTCGCCCACGGCAGCCTGCAGGCTGACCACCAGGTAGAAGAAGCGCTGGTCCGGGTTTGGCTTGCCCTTCTTGCGCATGTTGTTGGTGGTGGTCTCGGAGAAGTGGAGCCGACCGACCGTGATCTTCACGGTCTGCTCCGGGTTCAGCTCCACGCTGCAATGGCCCAGTGGTCACGTGACGGTCGGATGGCGGCGTCCGTTAAGGTCGTGCGCCCCTGCACAGTGACGTGGAAAATGGCCACGGCTTGCGCAATTTGCATTGGCCGTAGGCTGACGCGAGGAAGCCGATCTGTTCGCGTTGCCTGCCCAAGTGCATCGCTTTAAGAGTTAGCAAACATTTGGTATTCATCTGGTGCAATGAGAGACTCAGAAAACAGGCTGCGATCTCCAACAGCCGTCGCATGCAGCAGGACGGGCAAAAGGATGCCCGCGTCCGCGGACACCGGCTTGCCAGAGACTGCGGTGGAAACGAGTCGAGGATGGAGATATTTTGCCGGCGGAGGGGACTTCGGTGCCGACTAATCCCTGTTATCAGATTGCGGGAGCCTTGCCTGACGCATCGCCAAGGTTTCCATGCCTAATAGCGGTCACGTGACCCGGACGGCGTATCCCGTTTTCTAACCGGTCTCCAGCACAAGGCCGCCCGGTTTGCCAGCGCTGCCAGTGGCTGACGACTTCAGTGAAATCTCACTTTACCACCGCTAGGTGTCTTCGCCGCTGAGTGCAAAATTAGCGACGGGAGCCGGTGCAGGTTAGAGTCGCGTAGTAGGGCAGAGCACTTACACGACTGGTTTGTAGCACCGCTTGGTGCGGTCGCTCTGGCTCTGCTCCACTTTGATGCACTGGTTCGGGCTCTCCGTCTTCACGCCAAAGAAGTTGACGATAAAGGCGTCGATCTTCTTGAGCCCGTCGGCCGTCTTCACGTAGTGCGGCCTGCTGACCGGCTGGTGGATGTGACACGTGATCTGGAAGTGGTTCTTCTTCTGGCAGACGAACGCCTCGTCCGAGTTGGAGTAATTAAAGCCTTTGTCGGCGTCCACCTTGAAGTAGGGCGTTTGCCTGTCGGGGGAGGAGCACAAAAAACGGTCATCTGATCACGGAGCGCGAGGTGCATTCACGGTACTGTACTCAGAAGCCACGCAATGACAGGGGTCTCAGCTTTGATAGTTGGCTCGCGTGAGGCGGAGGGAGGAATCTGTGCACAAGTGGGAACACGAATATCGTATAACCTCAATTACAGATGCGGACGGTGACGTCACAGCGCGTCTGTTTGGTCGATACAGGATGCCTGCCCGGAATAGGCGGACCACCAACTCAGAGTTGAAAAGTCTGGGCGATCCAACAAAAGGTTAACGACACTGTAAAAATCCAATGATCCGTTATGGGGTACGGGCTTAAGTTCTTCAGCTTTGAAGCATCATGGCGCACACAAAGCACGCGATGGCCTCAACACTCGAGAACTGCCACAACTCGGCGCGCTGCCCATACAGATGTTCTGGAGCACACAGATATCTTCGCCCTCACCCAACACCCTAAAGTAGCCATTAACGGAATAAAATACAATGATACGTTCAATTTAACATACTGAAAACAATCGACTTGATTTACCACATTTCAACCAACGTAAATCCCTCCATTTTGTGCAAAAGCACAAGCACCCGCGGTCGACCGGGCCTCAAAAAGGGATAATACACACACACACACACACACACACACACACACACACACACACACACACACACACACACACACACGCATACGTACATATATATATATATATATATATATATATATATATATATACACGCGAATGTCGGGCGGAGCGCACACCCCTCAAAGGTTTACCACACCACCTGCTTGCTCTCGTTACCAGGTCTTTGGATGGCAAGCCCCGAACTAGTGCTCCGTCAAACAACCATCGTACGAGGCGCGCCGAAGTTCGCGCGAAACTCACAGCTCCTTCAGGTTGGCGTCACACGTCTGGTGCCACAGGTTCTGCTGGAACGGCGTGAAGCGGATGCACTGGTAGGCGGGGTCCATGTAGCTGGTGATGTCGTTGCTACAGGACATGTCGAAGGTGTAGTCGTCCTCCTCCAGGCCGGCCTGGGTGACGATGGGCGGCAGCGAGAGCGGCGGCGCCAAGTTGGACGGCGGCGGCACCCGCGGCCCTGCTGGCGATCCCGATCGGGTCGAGCCCAAACGGACATCAGCCGGCGGCCGGCGTAACGTCACGCGGTGTAACGTCACGCGGTGTGACATCACACGGCGCTCGGTGGTCAGGGGCGGGGACTCACCGAGCAGAAAACACTTCACTTTAGTGCGCGGGACACTTAACGCGGAGATCAGCGAGCGCCAGCAATTAGAGCTCGACGGACGCCCACGCGCGGAGTTCAGACGGCACTCACATTCAGAGCCCAACGGACACTCACGCATTGAGGTCAGAGGGCACTCACACTCACGCACAGAATTCAGACGGCACTCACAATCAGAGCCCAACAGACACTCACGCATTGAGGTCAGAGGGCACTCACACTCACGCACAGAGTTCAGACGGCACTCACAATCAGAGCCCAACGGACACTCACGCATTGAGGTCAGAGGGCACTCACACTCACGCACAGAGTTCAGACGGCACTCACAGAGTCCAACAGACTCACGCATTGAGCCCAGAGAGCACTTACGATCAGAGCCCAACGGACACCCAGAGCGCAGAAAACACTGACACACAATACCCAGTGACAAACTCAGAGTTTCGATACCTAATCCGCTATAAGGCCAGGCTTTTGAACCCACACAGAGTTTAGCGGCCAGCCACGTTTCCCACTGTCCACGGACACGCAGAATAGGCCACACTCATGGCTATGGGAGTGGCACGGGGGCGCACAAAACCGGCGCAGGGGGGAATTCTAACGAGACCATGGAGAGGGGTGGTTCCAGTGAGCTGCCAGGCACCGCTGTCGTGTAAAGCTACTTTGCTGTTGTAAAGATGCGCAATTGTGGCAGACCAATGTACGGTGACTAGGATAAGGCCTCGTCAAAGCATCTATGAAACGTTTGGTGATTGAGACGGGCGTTTGGATGCGCTTAGAAACCAGCCAAGTGCATCGAAATGCCATTTGTACGATCAGAATGCAACCGTCGCTTTGTGTTTTAAACGGCTGACATCTGTCTGGTCTCAAAGCACCGTTTTCAATTACTAGGAGCGTGCACCTATCAAACACTCACTTCTCCTGAATATGCCCAGATGTGATTAGTTTGCCTGCAGGTCGTTTGCAAACACATCCCCAGATTTCAGTGGGCGACAATACACATTGTTCGCAAATTGCCTGGTCATGATCAGTAATGAACGGACCGACGTCATTTCCCTGGTATCATAAAACAAACGGGCCTTTGTGCTGATCAAATCGCCAACATCACCCCCGCCCCGGAAACGATGCTACATTAGACACCATTGGCATCACCTTAATGATCCGGCGCACTCAACGAATCAGTTTCCAGAAACCTGCCAGTCCGGACCGTAGTCTTCCAGCAGAGGTTTGCGAATCGGTGGCAAGTCATTCGCCAGCATCGCCAAACTTCACCAGATTAGGCAGACACATTTCCGCCGTGGTCGTTACACGAAGTTGGGCTGGGGCACGCGCCTGGAACCGGCTAGCACGAGCTCGTAAACGAGCACCGGCCCACCAATCCTGGGGCAAGCTCCCGACGACTGCGCCACAAACGCCGCGGCTCGGCGGCCGCGCCGCACTCGCCGAAGCAGACGATTTGGCTGTCATTGTCCAACTGCCGACCGCGATTGATACGAAACGATTACGTGCGAGCGTGAAGCGAGGCTTCAGCAGGAAATCACAGGTCGCCGACGGCAGCGCCCCTGTGAAGTCTGCCTTAAAGTGCTGCTAGTTCAACGCGTCTGAAAGAGCAGCCAGCACAGCAGAAACTTCGGCTTCCAGACAGCATGCACGCATTTCTCCACAGAGCGAACGTTCTTCCAATGGCGTCCTCTGATGATCAATGTACCTCTCACGACCAACGACTGCCTCCGATACGAACAGCGGCGTCGCGTCGGTAACCACTACCGGCCGACTCGGGGTCAGCTGCCCGGAGCGCACCTGACGCGCCGAAGCCAGGCGCGCGGCGCCAGGTGTGACGCCTGGTCGCCCCACATGTCCGCTTCTGACGCGGTCGCGACCGTGACGACCGCCGGGAGGCCGGACACAGCCGTTGGTGTCACTCATTGTCCCAATGGGAGCATACGTTTCCACGCACGATTCATTCCCCCGCGGGTTTTTCCACTCACTGCGCCGCGCAAACGAGTTGGCTTAAATGACGACCTGTTGCTTTTATGGCAGCGTAACAGAGGGGCAGGTGAGGGTGGGGGTGAGGGAGGGAGCACAGCGTCGCCACGTATTATTTCTGTACCTAACACATACCCCCTCGGCGGACTGACGGGAGGGACATAGCGCCGCGCAGGCCCGACACTGGTGTCCGTGCCGGCGACGCATGAATGTACTTGCCGGGGGTGGCAGCGAAGCGTCCCACGTCAGCGGTGTGGCGTAACCGACGCGGCCAGCCGCGGGTCACGTGGGCGCAACAGCTGGCCAACGGTCAAGGCCGCGCTGGAGCCGCACGCGCGGCGCGGGCGGGCCGCACCTCCGGGCTCGGCTGGGCTGCAGCCGCGCTGCTACATATGGTAGCTTTCGGGGCTTAACGACGCAGTCGACGTGTAAGGCCGTTCAACACTGGCGTCCCTCTCTCCGGGCGCCGCGGGGAACGGCGAGACTCTTAGCCGGGAGGGTCGGGCCGGGAGGCCGCGATCAGCTCCGGAGAGCGTTCGGCACTCTTTGACCGTGAGCGGCTGAAGACTGAACGTCGTTCGGAATAACAGAGTGACTGGGCTGCTTCGTTCCTGTATCACCGCGCATGGAACGCACACCGCATGTATGCGCAGCGCATATGGCAAGGGCGAGACATGTGCCGCGTCTTCAGCAGGTTGTGGACCCCGGCAAACACAGCGCGACAGTCCCATGTGAGCAGAGCTAGCCCACTGGCGTTGGTTGGAAACGGGTTGATCGACAAAAAAAGACGAACGGGATTTTCTCCAATCCAAAAAGGCTGTCACAACCGCGCCCATGCATGCCAGGCTGAAACTTGTTCAGTTGAAATCCAGTCGATGCAAACGCGTATGTTTTAGTGCATGAGCATGCATCATTTCGATCATAAAACACCAAATAGCCGTCGCAGGCTGCGAGCATGCTCGACATACATGGCTTGCGTTATGCGCATAGACGAGCGGGTGCTGCGGGTCTGCAGGTGCGGGCCGCGAGCGCGCTCGAGTCGACCGGTTTGTGGAAAACACGGACACATCGCAGCACGAAATCTGCAAGGGCCGTGCCATATCGCAACCCCACGAGCGTCCGATTTCAGGCCGCGCCACAATTGTAGTGTACAACGACCTGCATGCAGGGATTACGTTACAGGACGGGCAGAGCACGTCACATGCCCGGCTGCCAAAACACATCGGAAAACGGCCGGTGCTGTGGCGCGGACGCTTTTCCCTCCCTTCGCTACATGCTCCAGGTGAAACGCTGACGTCCCCGCCCCCGCCCAGCAGAGGCCATCTGTCCGGCGAAGCGATAGAGCACGACCTATGTACCGCCGGGCGCGTGCGCCACCCCGCCGCAGCCCAGCGCGACACGTGGGGTGTGCCATGATAGCCATGGTGTTACGGCTGTCAGCGGCAGCCTGTAGCAACGAGGCAGACCTGTGTCTCACTCCACATCACGAATGCGTTTCAGCAGCTACTCTCTTTGAGCACGGGCTTGACTCCCGCTCAAAGCAGCGCTGCGCATGCAATAAAGTGACCACGACCTCAAATTATGGAAGCACCCCGCACCGGTGCTCGAGCAACGGTGACTTCACCCACAATTCAGTTCACGTTGGAGCAATACTTTTCCCCGTGCATTTCAAAAGTATTCGTCGCATGTGTGCCTTGGACCAAAGTAATCTCAACCTCACATCTCCGGGCCTCGTGCGACATCACACGACACATGTGACGTGCAGGACAAACGCTACCTGACAAATTGACATACGTGTTGCATAGAAATACCGGACATATATCACCTCTGATTGCACGAAGCATGCCACAAGACAGATGACACCTGATAAACCAACCAACGTGTTGCACTGGTATGCTAGACACACATGACACCTGACTACACCATAATTGTTATCATAATTGTTACTTGCTTGTCGCATGACACAGGTGCATGACACGGGTGCCACGGGTCTCTCACGCCCAGGACAGACACACATATATGGTGTACGCATCATACGTGGCGCGTTTTGTACGCCTTACGCCTCGTTTCAATGGTACGCACGGCACACCTGACAAACGTGAAGCATAACAGGTGACACACCTGTCACACGCGACACGCCTGACACACTGGACACACCTGGCACCCGTGACACATTTGACATGCGTTATCCAGCCGCGCGCGCGCCGTGTCAATGCCGCGCGCCTGACGCCCGCGACATTACACCGCTCCCAACAACCGCGACACATCACGCGCTTGACAACGGCCGACGCGTGACACATCCGACACACAAGACCCACGACACACCCGACACCGGTGACATACCTGGCTCCTGCTTGATGGGCAGGTTAAGCAGCTCGGACGATGACAGCTTGCGCTTCTTATTTGGCGCTGCCGGCTGGGCGGCCGGCGAGTAAGCCGGACCCTGGGCCGCCAGCGGTGACCCGAACGCCGTCAGGGGCACCGGGCCCATGCTCGACATGGCCATCTGGGGACCGCGCCGGTGTCAGCTGACCCGCGCCGGTGTGAGCCGACGCGCGACGGCGGCCAGGCCGGTGCCGTCCCGGACAAGGAGGAGGGTGCTTGGTCTCGCGTGTTGTCGACAGCCGCGCTCGTGATATACCCGGTTCATTCTAAAAGCGTGCCAATGCATTTTGGCGTAAAAACCTGCCTCACGGTTGGTGCCATCTCGCCGTGCCTATATGGGTATATTCCGTGTGATTTTCGTAGCCAGCTTCGCTTCAATACACAGGCTTTTGTTGAATATCTCTGGACATGGATTAGGGGATGGAACATAAGACTATTTCAGGCTCAAGGCTGGGACAGTGCCGTGCAGGACATTTCAAATAAAGGAGCTGAAGTTTGACTTCCAGGAAAATGTGACGAGCATGCAATTCGAATGCCGTAGCACCGAGTCGTAAGTTCCTACTTGGTAGCGGCAGTCTAAAGAACGGGAATGAGAAAGTGAAATGGAGTTACGAGTCTCTGATCATCATGACAAGTATTCCAAGTCCTACCCATGCGTATGTACAATGCTGGGATTAAACAGAAGTGGGTCAGTAATTTAGCACGGAGCATGCCAACACTTCATCGGTGTGTTGCCGCAGTACTTGACGCCAATATGACAGCCACATCAATGGACAGTCCGGTTGTAGCGGTCGGCCGGGAGCGCCGACCTACGGATGCGTCACATATCTGCACAGATCCATTCATTTCCCTGTCGACGCCGCATTCGCAGAGCCGTTCCTCCAACCAGCGCGCCATGCTGGAGCCTGGGACTCCCAACCCACACAACGAGAAAGCGTTCCGCACACACCGGCCGCTCCCAGCCCCGGAAACTGCGGAGACCTGGCCGCGGCGGCGGGTTCGCTGACCTGTGACGAGATGCCTGGCGGCGGAAGCTGCGGCTGGCTGGTGGAGGGGGCGCCGTGGAACTGCACCTGGGCCGGCCCTCGCGCCCCGCCCATCATGAACGGGTGCGGCGCCTCGGAGAGATCGGTCAGGTGAGCCGACAGCGGCTTCTGATCTGTGGACGACGCGGCGGGGTCAGCGGAGGTCACAGCCGGCGGGGTCTTATCCGACGGGACCAGGTCAGCGGAGGTCACCGTCAGCGGGGTCCTATCCGACGGGACCAGGTCAGCGGAGGTCACAGACAGCGGGGTCCTATCTGACGGGACCAGGTCAGCGGAGGTCACAGCCGGCGGGGTCTAATCCGACGGGACCAGGTCAGCGGAGGTCGCAGCCGGCGGGGTCCTACTCGACGAGACCAGGTCATCGGAGGTCACCGCCGGCGGGGTCCTATCCGACGGGACCAGGTCATCGGAGGTCGCAGCCGGCGGGGTCCTATCCGACGAGACCAGGTCATCGGAGGTCACCGCCGGCGGGGTCCTATCCGACGGGACCAGGTCAGCGGAGGTCACCGCCGGCGGGGTCCTATCCGACGGGACCAGGTCATCGGAGGTCACCGCCGGCGGGGTCCTATCCGACGGGACCAGGTCAGCGGAGGTCACCGCCAGCGGAGCCCTATTCGATGAGGTCGGGTTTCGCGACGAGCTGTCGCGTGGCTTCTTGGACGACCGACTGATCAGACGGCGTGACACTTACAAAAAAAGATGCACGCAAAATGAAATAGAGGCACAGGGGAAACATAGGCGAGGCGCAGCGCATAACCTAAAAACGGCACACAAAGTGCGCAACAACAATCCAAAGGGGGAGGGGGGCAACAACGTAACGGAGCAGGAGCAATGCAACCACCGGCAGACAAAGAGACCAGCCGGCGCTAGTTCGTTATGCAGGAAGTTTGATCGATGAGAGTGGCCTCTAGCACCATTTTCATTACATTGGGCATTCATTGCATGCTGGTACAAGACTTTTAAAAATACTTTGTTTACGGAGTTTTTCAAGCGGCAGGGAAAACAAGTTAAGCTAATTGGCCTTTTTGTGCCAGAACGGATGCAAGTAAAATGTGACTGTGTGAGACCTCTAGTTCTGGTGTCTGCCAAAATTTGGGTCAGTTTTGCCCATTGCCTCATAAAGGAAAGCACAATATTCATTAAACACATGAGACACTCATGGAGAAGGGCGAACGAAGTCAGCATTGCCAGCTTCGACTTTGCTTTTGTGTTCCCCATGCTTCTGAGAGCTTTTAAATTTTGCAAATTACACCAGAATGAGCCCTTGGATTTTGTGAAACAAGTACCAACTACGACACACGATGTCGTGGTGCAGCAAACAAAAATTGCCTTCGACGTCGGAAACAGGAAGTACATACCGTCATATTGCAAAAGCTACGGCCATTCGGCAACGGAGTTGTGCACCATGGAATGTGGATATGATTTAGTACCTTAGTCATGGCATTAACTCAAAAAGGCTATTTTTGGACGGAAGGGATACCTCGTCGGCATAAAATAAATTCCAACCATATTCGAATGGCTGCCAGTTTATCCTATTACTTGCAGAATGAATGAAGGTGTACTAATGAAGTGAGCGTAGGTAACACCGATATATGTGAATGCAGGTGACTGGAGATGAGTTAGATGCACTCAATATGTGGGTGGAGGCAATCTTTACATACCTATCCTCAAAGTGCAGGTGAGATAGATTTACTTCCAATGTGAGTGCAGGGCTAGGGATGTACTTACATTATGATCTCAGGTGACGAAGATCTACGTCGAATTGAGTGAGCTGAGGCGAGACGCATGCATTTGTTACGTGAGTGGAGGTGAGATAGTTCCCGTACCAGGTGAGCGTATGCGAGATAAATCCACTTACGAGGTGCGTGCAGGCGAGAGGCATGTACTTACGAGGTGAGTGTAGGTGAGATGGATGATCCTGCGGGCTGAAGGGGGGTTCAGACCCCGAGTCCGGTGGACTGTCGGGCAGGTGGCTGCAGGCAAGAGCACACCGGTGTCAACGGCGCGCTCAAAAACATCGGCGACGCGCTTTTGAGAACGCGATCAACATGCTGCAAAGGCTCGCTGGGGCAGAAATATGTTCAGTTAATGGGGATTCAATTACGTGCGCATTCCTTGTTTGGGTACGGATTTATTGTCGGATGCCTTGCGGGATGTTGAAGATGAGTCACCACTCTCGCCCCAGCTGATGCAAGTGCCAGTCATTGTGCACGGGCACAGCGGCCTTGCATGCTGCCATTTCCATACTTTCGACATCTTATTCCAAATTCAGAATGCCAATATTTACCAATGTCATGGTTGTGGAATAATGATTTGGTTTCGCAATAAATGGATGGCGTTGCTCGATTCTTGGAGCCCACGCACTGTTAGAGTAACTGGTTTACAAAGGTCATTTGGGCGAAAGTCAAGTCTGATATCGCGTGCCCCACGGAACTTAAACAACTTCACGGTCACGGGTCACCCAAATGTCCAAGCTGCAATGATGCGCATTAACTGAATCCGCATTACATGATTGGTGCATCGACCCGTTCTAGGATGCAGGGGCCTACAACTACCGCAGCAAAGTCCTCTTGCGGATGAATCTGGGACGAGGCTGTCTTGTTCGACCCCACAGCTTCGAATCAAATCAATGAAAGGTGGACATCCATTTGGCACATCTAATTTGAAATGTATGGACTGAACTGCACACTAACGTTGATCAGCAACTTCATTCACACACCATCGCATGGCAAATATATCATCACCAACGTCCTTTGCAAATGCGATGACGACATGCACAAGTGCATCATGAACTGATTGCGACGCATGATGTTCGATTACGAGCTACAAAGAAAGAAAGAAAAAGAGCCGCGAATTAGTAATCATTGCTGGAATATTGCTCGGAAGTACCCGGTGCGCCGCACCGACCGGGGTTTCTCGAGGCAGATGTTCCGATGTTGCCTCGACGTTGACCTTTACAATCCATCAATAACTGGATGGGAGGAAAACATCCGGGAACAAATAGAGCGCACGTTCCACGGCTACTAGTTCTGCAGAAGTGTTTCAGCGGCTCGTGTTTGCTCCCGTCCAGCGGATGCCATTCAGCCTCGAACACGGGGCATCCCAGGTCCTGGCGCGATGCAACGTCCAGGATTCAGCAGAACACCATAGGTCACTATAAACACCCAGCCCTCATAACACCGCCGCCCGCCGCGGAGCGCCCCATCTCTCAGGGGCGGCGGGCACCGGCACACCGCGGCATTCCGGCTGGCCGCAGGAGGAGGGCGGCAGGTCTCCCCCGCCGGAGCGTGGGCGACCGGCGGCGAGCGTCGTCCTTGGCGGCGCGCGAACCGGCCGCGGCGGCTCCCGGCGCGAGGCCAGCCTGTTTTAATCGACGGACCGACAGTGAATCCGGGTGGACCGAGGGGGCGGGGGCGGCGGAAGCGGACCGGCGCGTCACGGCCGCGGGCATTGACCATCACGTCAGCGACTTAGCGAATTATGGGGTATTGGTGCAGTGACAAGGAGTGACATGCCCTGCGTCATTTGCGATTTAAATGAACCATCTGGAGCGATATTAATGTAAGCAACTTTTTCACCCAGCTCACTATCGCAGTCACCTGTGCACCTCCATCCTTTAGTCACGCGACGTAACGAAGTTAATAAACATCCCACTTGAGGTGCGTCACCAACAGCCTACATGTTCCAGCAAGTTGTCCTACTTTGACATCGGCACAGCGACCTGACGTGCCACACTCGACGTCAGATATGAGGGCGCCCAGACGCCAACGCTCTCAGATACCATCTCACCGCAGGCACCCCCCGATGAGGTGTGACCTGTCAGGATCGAGCAGCATACATGCAACACGGTGCCGAACACGGCCTGGACGGACCCGGACGGGAGTTAGCGGGCGGACATGCAAACGGCCGGAGGCGAGGCTTTCGCACCGCGTAGAGAACCACAACAGACTCCACGTAACATTGCCATGGCATCTGTCAGTGAGCCTACTCGTCTTCGCGAGGACCTGCGCGGCTCTCGCGGTCGGGGCGGAAACGCGCCATGTGCACGCGAGCGTGGCAGCGCCTTTTCGCCGAGCTCCCGCTCGGCTGTGACCGGACAATCGCCAGCGCGCTGACTGGAAACGAGCGCGCGCGAGTGCTGCGGGCACACGCGACCACGGCTCTCCAGCGCGCAGCCTGACGTGGCGTTCAGGCACCGGAGTGCTCGTTGCATGCCCCTGACTGTTGTTGTTGCCTCACTTTGGTCACACGCGGTCCAATCCTCTGCATGTACGTGTTGTGTAACCCTGTGCGCGCGTTTAGTGTTTTTATGTAATGAATTTCCTGCCGGAACTCTTCTGGCGCGAAAGACTAGACATTGTCGCGATTGCATGTTTGCCCTGCAAACGCCCCAGCCGTGTGGAGTACGAATGAACCCCAATCGCAACAGGTGTAAAGGGTTCAACCCCGTCATGAAGTGCAATTATAGTCCGAAGCAAAGGCCTTACGAAGTGATTAATCTCACTCCGACCAAACCACAAATTGGCTTCACTCGCCTGATTGGCTGGGGTCGTAAAGCGCGGGCCGCTGCCTGCCCGGCCCGTTCCAACACCGGCGGCGGCGGCGGCGGTGAGGGCCCACGGACAGTGGGCTGGGGAAAACTTAAGGCCGCGAGCACACGGTGCCATGCTGCGACCAGCGCACGTGTCCGCGTGCCGTGACCGAGCTTCGTGCCACAGCTTTTCCTTTGCAGCACGCGTCCGAACTTCAGTCAGCTTGACCCGCCAAGCGACCTGAACTCGGACCCGCTGCCCGAGTCTGGAAATGTTTATCTTTTCTATCTTTTTCGGCGTCATTGCCCGGACGGCCAGCGAAGCGGGTCATGCGATCGCGCAACGCATCGCGTAGTAGTGCGAGACGTTATGCTAAAAAGCATCCTTCGGTCAGCGGTATTACAAAAAGCTGCAGGCGTTGCGCAATTATCCACGATCTGTGCGTGATCCTGGACGTGATCTAATATGCACTACGCGTGCACGCGTGAAGGATATTGCCTTTTCGTTTGTGCACTACAAGCAGGCGCACGCGAATGTCAAGCCAGCCCGACGTCGATAGTAAAGGAAACATGGCCAAGGCAAGCTGGTATGCCGTGACACGCGGACCCTGTCAGTGCTACTGCCGCGACACGCAGACCCTGTCAGTGCTACGCAGACAGGTCAACCAGCCGCGGGTCACGGGCGCTGATTTACCGGTACGGTGCGCGTGTACAGGGCCACTTGACGTCTGTTGCCTTATTTGAAGCTAGTGCACTCGCCGGTGGGTTCAACAGTAAGCATCAGCTGGACTGATCAGCCCCATAATGGCTCCAATGTAAAGCGGCGCCGAGCTCACGTGATGCGCCACAGCTAAGCTTCCAATTTTTCGTAACACAGCGAAATAGCGTAATTGAGACCTCAACAGAGCTGGGGCGGTCGCCATTTTCGCAGCACTTTACATCGTAATCATATTACTACTAATTGCTCACTGCAATTTTGCCGCAAGGGCCCCTAGTACGTAGTTTGAGACTGACGTGCATTTGCTACATTCGCCTCATCTCTACCCGAACGCTGAAAGTCGTTGTTGTTCACTCATAATCATCGCCAAATTATGCCACTAACAACATATGACTAGATCAAGGGTCGACCTTTGGTCGCATGTATGTTACTAGTTGTGTCTCAACGCATATAGCGCAAAGAGATATGTGCTGGTAACCATAATGAAGCGCTACGCTTTTTCAGCGGGATTCGCCATAAAGAAACGCGGGTGTGTGGGTGCACTGGCACAGGACATCCACCAAACAGAATACGGCTTTTAACGGAGAGGCTATGTCTTTTACAGAGTATGTCTTGTACACCTTTTCACTTGGAGTTGTGTGTTCTTGGGCTGTGTGTGGCTGTGTGTTCTTGGGCTGTGTGTTCTTGGGCTGTGTGTTCTTGGGCCCGATCGCGTAGAGAAAGCTGGCTTTACGACTGTTCAGCCCGAAGGCGCAGGACGATGAGCGGGCGACAGTGGGACGAAAGTGCGGCTGTGAGAGAAGATGGTCAGGCGGGTGGAGGCAGTCATGTTTCCCTCCAACGAAAATCAGCCTACATCATTGGCTTTAGTCTGAAATGATGTACACAGCCAGACACGTGAAGCCACTCAGCACGCTGAATCTGTCGGGGAAAAACGTGTTGAAGAAGCACAACTGCGCAGTAAGCACAGGCTCCCCGGCAAGACACGAAATAGGTTAATTAATTATGATAAAATAAGTTTTCTGTACCAAATTAATGATAGGGAACTCACATTAACAGGACCAGGAAAAGACCAGTACCGTAAATCTTGCCTGCTTCATATGTTCTAAGTCAACCCAAAGCAGGATCCCGTTTACTCAAAGCTCTTAAGAGCAGCGAGGCCGCGATCAAATCAGAGCCGTTCCAGCCCTCCTCATAGGCCGGTCCAACGCAGGGGCGTAACCAACACACAAAAACACCGGGACAATGCATATCCATGTAAAACCTTTTGGAAGCTTCTCTTAGGAAGATTCCGGACTCATCCACGAAATGAGGTCTTTACCACGGCGACGCACGTGGTACACGCGACCCCACCAAACACGGCCTTCCCTAAAGCGAGCGTCTGACACCGCCCCTGCCGTCCGTCTGGACAGCCGGGCGGCGACCTTGCCTGCGCTCCTGCGCGCCCCGTTACCGGGGCAGCGCCGAGCTCCGGCCGGGGCCGCCGCGTCACCCCGGCCGCGACGGGCACGGAGAGACACGCCGGCCGACCGCAGCCACCGGCGGCGCGCCTCAGCTGCGGCCGCGCGTCCGCAGCTGAGGCCGCGCGCCGCGGGTCGCACGCTCGTCGCTCGGAACGGCTCGCTGGAGCGCGGCTGGCACGTACACGGCTCCCAATGTATCACTAGGGCCGCGAGTCCGCCGCCGAGAACGGCTCACTTCGACCTGCACGTTCTCACGGTTTCGAGCGTCGGCGTTTGACGGAAGCCGCACGTCTGTCCCGCGGTATGTCCGCACCTAGGATGGGAACACCTCGCGTGCGGCGCATCGGTGCGTCCTTGCGATCAGACGCCCAAGGTAATCGCCGGCGAGGGAAGAGGTGGCCGGTGAGGGGTGAAGAGGTGGCTGCCCGGCTGACCAGCGGGGAGCAGTGGCCGGTGAGGGGCGAGGGATACCAACCGGTGAGAGGAGTGAGGAGGTCGTGACCGGTGAGGGGCGCCTGTGACTGACACTGACATGAGGAGGGCCAGTGTGGTACCGGGCATACGACATCACCCCAATGGTCCGATCAGCTCGAACGGCGGAGCACAGGGAGCACAATTCGGCTTCACCTTGCCCGCCAGGCTCTGCGGCTGATACGGAGGAGACATGTGGCGAGCCCGCTTCCCGCCGGAGGCAAGACATCCTGCACTGGGGCAGTCGTAAAGCCGCGGAAATGTGAATCATGCCATCGTACGTCGGCTTGCCGTGAAGGCGGGAGCGGAGGCGTGTTGCCGCGCGCCCTCCGGGCGACCGTGACACGCCCCTACCAGCTCAGACTCGGACTCTGCAGAGCCGTGCGCGTTGGTGCCGAGGTCAGAGGGCCGCCACTGGGCCAGGTGGCTGCTGACCCCGCTGTGGTGTAACTAGGGACTCCGGCCAAACGCAAACCCGCGGGGTGTTTGCTCGGACTCTGGCCAGGCGCCGACCCCCAATGTTTGCTTGTTTGGTCACGCGGTCGCGCAACAGCAAGTCAATGAGTCATGGCAATGTCTGCCGAAGCGCGGCTCAACAAAGAGTTGGGTCAGCAGCTGCAGCTGGTGCATCATGGCATGTGGTTTGTGGCTGAAGGCGCGGGGAGGGGAGAGAGAAAGAGGACCGCCAACAGAGTGTGCGGGGTCGCTGTAGTCAAATGTGCCTGCAAATTGTGAACCGTCGGTCCAGGACGGCACTCGTGAATCAAAGCGGCGGACGTGGCGACAAAGGTGCGGCATGCCTTTTGTCTCCCGACTTTTGGCAACGACGTAATGCAGATACCGTCGTGATATAACTGTGCTGCAGGTAAATACTTAATCGTTGACCTCGGTGTCACGAAGTTCGCGAGCCTTCCGTCTCACGATCCACCACTTCCGTTTCTTCGCTAACATGCTACATCTTTGCCACCTACGGCATCACCAATTCATGGATAACACAACGCTGTAAATCGGAGGCGGAAACGCAGCAGCAAATGGCCCCACATACTTTTCGTAACGTGAGTCACAGGCGGCAGGTCGGGTGGGTGGGGGGGGGGGGGGAGCAGGTCACTCACGGCTGAGAGGTGCCCGTCTTGCAGGAGAGGAACCCGGAGGCGGGCAGGCCGCCGCGAACCCCGCCCGACTCCGGGTCGGCGCCGTACTTGGCCGCCTCTGGGCCGGACAGGCCATCCGCGAACTCCCTGCAACAGACGCGTACGGATGTCACGGCTTCTTCCGTTCCTCTCGGGGGAGCCGGGGGAGGGGTCACCGGATTTCCCCGCCAGCCGTCTCCAGCGCAGGTGGGCGCCCGGGCAGTGCCAGCCAGAGCTCCGAATCCGATGCCTTGCAGCAACGGTCACGCCGCGCGCTTTAAATCCCGGCCATTAACGCTGGATATGGTAATGGGTATGCGTGACTGCACGCTAAGGCTCTTCTCTGCAAGTTCTCTCCACGGTGCCGGGATCTGAATACTGCGGGAAACCTCTATAACGCATGCATGCGTGCGAGTACATGAGCATGACTGCATGGCGTCGAGCTTATCAGCTGGCTTTGAAGGCGTTGAACCGACCTACAAGCTGTAGCACGCACTATTAGGAAATGCGGCGAGCCAGGCGGGTCAAAACTCCGGCTCTGTACGGCTCAGGAACGTTTTAAAATCCGATGCAAAAACTCAGGATCGGACACATGTTTATGCTATTTGTATACGTTTTCTATTCACACTTTTTAGTTCTTATTCCGGGACAAACAAAATTAGAACACTTTGGCAGACGCAGTCCCATTAAAGCACACACATACCACGGATGTTAGGCGGCGTAACGATCCTGAAAAATGCGTGGTGCTTTACGCATGGCGGCCGACATGCCAGACTAGTACAGCACATTGATTTGCCAAGCTGTTTGAACTGAATTTCCAGACGCCAGATGTACAGTACAACCTCTGAGTTAACATAGCTCTGTCCAAACTTAACCTTCAGTCATTATGACTTGGCGCCTTGTGCAGCATCGAGAGAGTGATGTGGTGACAAACGTGAGAGTTATCGACCAAAACAATATACTTGATGACGTAACGCGAGCTAATAAAGTTATACTTCTTTGAAAACACATACAAGTAGATCTCGTCAATGTCATGAAAGGTCCATATTTCGCGAGAGTTCCGCAGGCACGGGCTCATTGATGTCCACTTCATGCGTTCGTTCCCTCACTTCACGCTCTCACACCTCTTGAAAATTGCCTGAATATCAGTCGCACGCGACTATGCTGATATTTTCCAAACAATTGAGTGATGTACAATTTCGGTGAATGTGAATGAAGATTGCAAACGATGCAAAAGTTTCAAGTGGATATTGATCACATGAACTGGCCTGATCTCCGCGTGGCTTTTAAAACCCGTCTTCTCCCGCTACGGCCACGAGCGGGAGAACCTCTCGGGAGCACTCGGGAGCCAGTTTGGGGGTACTGCTCCGCGAATTGCTGGCGCATTGCTTCCACAGCCGAATGGTGAAATATTGACGGCATATTCACATACACCACGCAATTAATGGTATTTCTTCACCTGATAAGGTTGCTAAGATCTGTCATCAACGCTCAAGTATGGCTCACAACGGACAGGTCCCAGCCGGCGCCCGGGGGGATGTGACCTGCTACGGAAGCTTTCGCAGACACGACTTCCTATACCCGGCCCACTTGCATCCCATGGTTTCGTGACCATATCCACCCGTTACTCATTCATGATCAGCTGTATCCATCTGTTGCTCACTCACATATGTTGCAATGCTTTAGTTCTAAATCACCAGAAATTAAGGAAGCAGTGCAATTAAACTTTAACTTGTTTATTTTGATAACAGTCAAATCAACGTGAATGGAGATGACTGTGAATGAAAAACTTGAGCACAACCAGTACTAAATTGTGGTTTTCTGAACACATGAACCTGGGATACCTTGAGCTTCATGCCGATAATCTTCTGGGTGTCGGTACTCACAATATCTATTTTATTATATATATATATATATATATATATATAATACAATATTACCCACAATATTTATAAACTAAATAAAATAAGCTCTGCCCAGGGTTTCACCCACGTTGCACCAATTCTTATCAATTATGTAAAGCGTGAAGTCATGTTATAGGTCGCATACCCGTGATTTTGCTTATATGACATCAGTTCTCGCTCTCCTTCGTCAAGAGGTATTGACTTGTATCAACGCGACGTGGGGTCGACGAAGCCAAGCCACAGTTTCCAACCGGGTCGCGCGGCCTTTTCTAAATTAGCGAGTTACATTTGCCATCTTGGTCGAATGGAGCGCAGCATTTCATTCAGGCTGAATGTCGCAAGATAAGATTATGCACTGAACGTGTTTGCAAAAAGCAGAAACTTGAATAGCAGTAACATAAAAGCAGGGTACTTGCTGCCGGTGAAAACTACATGATGCAGAGATCAATGACGCACAGATAGTACCTTCTACAATTTTTGTGACGGCAGGTCCACGCAAACTGAAAATATTGCCATCGCCCACTTAAACTCGCTTGGCCTGCAGCCACATCCGTAAGAAAACACACTCTACTAATGGGCAAACTGAGACAATTCCGTTCCCCATTCCTTCCTTGACGAACTTCTTTGCGAGGCTTGGAGGAATTCACCCACCATTAGCATAATACAGCACGCCCGCGAATTATCAAACAATGCTGGGCGTCCCGTCAAGCAAATTAATCGACCAATCTTGGCTCCACGTTGGCATGGCAACGGTGATGATTGGCTGCCTGCGTCCTTATTTATTCAGGGGCTTTGCTGCAGAGCTCGGAGTCAGCGGCGCCGGCATCGCATTAGAATATCACGGCAGGGTCGTGTCAACCTTCTTGTTCAACCTGACCCCAAGTCTCAGTCAAATGGCCGCCGGACTCCAACGGCAACACATTCGGCGGCTGCACCAGAATGTTGTAGAACGTTATGTTATCTGCCGTGCCAGTGCCATTTGGGAAATGAATATAACGGAGCCGAACGTAATGGATTGGTGTTGATTAATGGAACGTAACCACGTAAATGACGCAACATCTACCCAGCCACCAATGCCGGGCTAAAAGGATGGCGGAAAAGGGCTAAGAGTACCGTTTAATCGACAAAGCAGGAACATCACCGAAATATATTACTACTAACCGCTCCCAAAACTTCCATAAAGTGTCTATGAAACATGAATGCTCGGTTTGCCTGCAAATCTGCGCGGTTCACGAAATGTGATTCATATTGAGCGATCGACATGGGTTTGATATTTCTACACGCTAGGAGATCACTAAGTGATCGTGTCTGATTCAAAATAAGTTACATAACCGAAATTAATTTCATCATAATCTCAGTGAAAAAAGCTGTTGATGAGCTACAGGCCGCGTCTGCAAACACTGAAACCTATTTTAGTCGCACAATCCCGGAATTTGACCGTCAAGTCACTTATTTACCTTTCTTGCTGCAGTAAAGCTTTTGCAGCCGGTTAGGGCACACGACCAGTTTCGTGCGTTGCAAGTCGTGACCATACTGCACAGCAAGCATGGCTATGCAGAAGTCATCGCATTTTTGTACAGTTTGTGCAGTTGAGATTTCGGTGGAACGCCGTTTTTAGCTGTTCAAACCGCGTCGGTGGCGAAGCGAGATTCCGTGACTAGTTTGTGGAGTGGGAAGCATTTACGGAGTCAATGACCGATTTGAAGGACTAGCGGCCGTGGCCCACTCCCGGCGGACATTTCATCTTTCTAGCGTTAGTTTTCTCAGCTTTTGTAGTTGTTTATTCTTCTTAACGTTAGCTTGACTGCCGCGGTATCCAGCATTTGTTCCTTGCCTGCTCATTCAATGTAGGACTCGCATTTGAAAAAATCGCATCAGTCTTCGTGACAGCCAGCGGCATGACTACATACCTTCTTATCAATTCGCATGAAATTTGTAGACCAAATGCTATTCAAAGAACATCTTTCATGCACACTCGTACAAATCAATTTACAAAACTAGCGTCGCCAAGGACGTAGCCAAGGGGGGGGGGGGACGGGTGGGAGCGGCGCCAGGGCCTCTGAGTCAGGAGGCTTACATTGGATACTGAGTTATTTTACAGGAACTCGATCAATATGCGCAAGATCTTGGAGGAAAATTTGGTTTTGCCCCTCTTCTTGGCAAAAATAATGGCTATGTGCCTGAAAAACTACCACAAGATTCGCAAACAATCCGCGCATTTCACAACATTTAGTAGGCGATTTGAATCTTGACAATTTTTCCTGAGTGTCAGCACGAACCGAAACGACGCAGCAGGTCACGCAAGAAGTCGAAGAAATAATGTTCGCGCACACACACACGTGTGTGCGGGCATCTCGTGGCCCCGCCAGTGGTAACCTTGCGACGTCAAATGTCACATGGTTGGTCAAATATACAAATATCAGTGTTGGCTGAAACTCCGCATCATAGAAAAAGTGCATCGCGTCGTTCAATGGCTGGGTGCAGTCAGGCTCGCTCCCGAACGCCACACACCTCGCCGTTCTGCACCGAACCGTGGACCCCCCCCCCCCCCCCCCCTCCCCTTCCCCAAACCTGCCTGATCGCCAGCTCGTCTGATTATAAACGAGCGGCGTTGATTGGGGCCCGATCATTCATCACGCCGTCAGCCGCCGCCGGGAGACAATGCCCGGCGGGCAGACCGGGCGTCCAGGTGAGAGCAATGTCGAATCGATCCCGCACACGGCGGCCTACCGCCGCACAGCGCCCGCGGCCGTGGCTTCGGCCGCGGCGCCGGCGCCGAGCCGGAGCCGCGGGAAGTCTTTTGTGCGCGTTTGATGCGCGGCACAAAGACGGGTAACGTATGGTGACCGGGTTCGGTTCTTGCAGGACGACAATGGGGGCCGATGCCCCGGGGGGTGGGGTGGGGGTGTTGTGCTATCAGTGCGCTTCGGTGGACAGCCCAGCGTGACACTGAGCCGCGAGGGTGTCGCAATAAGGCAAGGCGTGGTCTTGCCGGGCCCATGGAATGACCGCCAAACGCCCGTGCCATCTGTCATCAGGGATTTGCGCGCGTGGGTCAGCAGCTGGATGTCATCACTAAGCGCTTATGCGACGTGAGAATGAATCTTGTTTTCTCACTCCAGTCGCATGTCCGATTTAACATATACAAGAGCTGCTGGAGTCTACACAGGCGCAAAAAGGGGATTTTCATCGTTGATGTGTGTAAAACTTATAGCGAATTGTTTCGTGTGATAGCAGCAGATCCTGTCATACACATCGGTCGCTCTACATTGCTGAGGACAACATGGCACAACCGTCTCGCCACTCCACCGCCGTAACAGCGCTACACCCCCCTGCCACAAATGGAGCATCGTGGTCGAGGGCAGCATCACAATGATCGATCAACACGTGCCCTAACGCATACCGTGGGAATTTGGCCGATGCCATGGCTAATGCAGCATTCATAACCACCTCACTAGTTAACCTAACGTTCATTTATGACGTGGGATAACTGCTGGCCAATTGTCTGATCGTTAATGCATTTATAACTCATGACCGGCTAGTAGCACAATTCAGTGTTTTTCAGTTCTAAGTATAAGGGCATCCGACATTAATACACATTCATCATGTCCCAATTTCCCGACGTTCAACTAAAGACACTAAATATCACAAATAACTATCAGATAACTTATTACAAAAAAACTATGGTCATATAGCCAAAGGCACAGATGATTAGGACGCACGCTGGTGAAGCCACGACATGTCTTATCGAAAATATAATGTTTTTTATTGCAGTAATGAACGAGCAGTTCGCAGTAAGTGTTCCGCGAAAATCGCCGTTTCAAAGGGAAAATAAGAGTTCCTGATGGAAAGAACCAGAGGAAATTGACTGAACCCAGAATCATCATCAAAATTACCGGGGGGATTACCCCGACAACCCAAGTCGGGTAATCCCTCCGCAGCCGCGCACGCCGAGTAAAGACCGGCGCCCGCTTAAACACAAAATCCACGGAAATGTTCGTCATTCCCGATCGATGTCACGCCTCGTGACGCGTGCTGAGTGGATGAGCGCGTTCTGCCATGCCGGGAGCCATTGGGAAAGCATCACATCGGGGGAAAACGGGAGCATGTCTCCCGAGCATTTTGGCCAGTGTAGCGGTGCATTAGAGCGCTATATGTTTGAAGTACATGAGAAAGGCGTGTCCTGAACATAACTGCGTTGACCGCCCCTGGGACGATAAAACAATTTCATGCTATCCAGTAAAAACATGGTCACTGGGGTTTGGGGCATAAGCTGTTATTCATACGTTATGGGGGTACATACACGTACATCCTTTCAGCATTTCCTCAAAATATCGTGTTTGCAGCCATTTTATTACGGCCATTTGGTGGTATACCTAATGCGGTATACTTAAGTAATGTGGTATACCTAAGACGGCTAACCAAATCAGATAGCTAGAATTGTCAGCACCGTCGAGATCGAGTCATCAATTCCCCTATAAATGCTCAATACTCCGCTTTGACAAGATCTAGATTATTTCAACACGGTCCAATCTAAAGACTGAGATAGCTGTAGCTTGCACACCTGAAGGTGAAACGACTTTGGCCTTACCACCTTTGTCCACGCCGTTAATCCATCGTTTTTCATCCGTGGCGCGGCTAGCCAATCAACGCAACAATGCGAAACCTCCCTCCCACCTCCCAACAACCAGGCCTGGTCCAGCACTTGCGCGTCAAACCGACGGTCACAGCCAGCCGCCAGCGCGTCAAAGCTTTCAGCCTCGGCGCCCCCCGGAGCTGCGGATTCCGACCGGGCGCCCAGGCTGTGACTTTCCGAAGCGCCGGACACCGCCCCAAGTAATTAAAGCCGGAGGCATTAATCCGGCCGTTTGGGAGTGCGGTTCCACCATTTAACCGGGCCCATAAACTGCCAATTATAATTGGAACTCGCAAACACATCAGCATTTCGGAGTCAGGGGGCAGCACGCGAAATAATTATTGGGCGCTCCTGGTCACCCAGCGAACCACAACAACCCTCCTTAAGGTCCAGCGCGCGCGCGCGCGATAATAGCGCTTTACGGCGCGCTATCATGAGGGAGTGCTGGCGGAGAGCGGTGAGCAATCGACCCAGAGATGTCACGAAAACGACGCGAGAGAGCGCCCCACCCCGTGACGTACTATCAGCTCTGAGCGATGCTGTAACGCGCACGATGCTCACCGGAACGACTCACGATGCCCGCACGGGACCCCGTCAATGGGATGAGGTGATTGACCAAAACTCATAATCCGCACCAGTACGGCGGGCCCATGCGCAATACACTGGTGCAGTGCGTGCTAGCTCCTGCGGACATGGTGGGCTGCCAGGTACTTACCCAGCGCCATCGTCGATGTTCTCGTTGATGTAGCTCTCCAGCTGGCTGAAGTCTAACGCGTCGTTATCGATTCCCGACACCAGGTCGCTCCTGCCTGGAAACGCAGACGAAATGGTTGTCACGTGCCCAATGAGAGGTTGCTCTCGGATGCTCCTTCCTGGAGGTGCAGGCAACACAATTACGATGCGCTGTTAACAGTTGCCTTCCCGAAAAACGGGGCGACATGTTGCTCTCGGCCCAACAGAGCCCCCTTGTCAGTGTCAGCTGCCTCGGTGACAAACACTGCAGCCGGACTGTCATCACCTCGGCTGCCAACATCCGCGGCTCTGCAGCCGCTCGTCTGCTGCACACACAGGCGCGCCAGAGCGGCACCTCCGATCGCAAACGGGGGCTGCGGTGGCCCGGCGGCGGTTAAAGGCTGGATTTTGACGGAAGCCGCGCTGGCTTCTAGCTTCGATATTTATGTGCAGAGTCGGGACGACTGCAGCCTCCGGAAACAACGCGCAGCGCCCACACAGCGCTGTCAGCCGTGGTACCGGCTGGACGCCGGGTCTCTGCCCCGGACGGCGACGGCGACAGCTGCATGACACGCTGGTCGCGCCGATGGGCGGCCCTACACGCACGTGGGCCCGAGCAGTTCACGCGCAGCGACGCGGGCACAGCTGTAGCTCCGGACACATCACCACGTGACGTCACACCTTTAGAATGATCGGAACTCACGCGGAACCTCTGTGTGAGTTTACTAGCTCTTGATATGCCCCATCGTGCAAAAACCGGTGGGTCCACACATCGCCTGTGTGTGTGTACATAATGATATCGAGCATACAGCGATTTATTTTCCTAAGACTAAGTATACCCCAGCTTTTTGGAGCTCGCCGCACGCCAATAAGCACGATGCCGTTCGCAGGACCCGCCGTCACTAGCATAACACAAACATTTATTCAAGAGTTCACAGAGCCCTTGGAGGCCATTACCATACCGCGCCGACCGCCGTCACGTCGGCAACGCCTGTCCGGCTGTCTGGCAATACGGCTGTCCGGGTCCTGTCCGAATCTGAAGCTCACGACCGTGTTAATCCGAGCCTATCCCGACCCCTGGCCGAACAATGTCAAAGAAGTGTTTGCTTGAAAATAACTGATGATATATGCATTTGGCGCGCGGAAAACTTGCATATAACGGGGGAGCCGTCTCAGAAACACGCGCTGGCAGTGGAGAAAACGCACACTCGGAGGCAAGAGACCAACGGGGACGTTACTCGGGCGCCGAAGCATACACCAACGTCTGTCACCAAAGCAGCCGAAAGGCTCGCTAGCTCACTGCTGTATGCTTTTCACCGTAGAGTGGTGCACATCCACCGTGCTGGTACGTTTTAGTTAGTGGTATGCATTTGGCGTTTGTGGATAATAAATTGCAGGATTGCACTGAAGACTCTGTGGCTCTAACTTTGGTGCAATGACGCCACCACAAGTGTAGATATACCATAACTATATGCTGGCTGTAACTGTGTAGGTGAAACCAACGCGTTTCGCAACATAGGATCACGGTTTGCGAAACAAAGGAACCTGTTATCTTGCTGTGACATATTCTAAATGGCGTCCCAGTCACTGGCCTCGTGACTCTGCTTTGCAGGGCTTCCCGCCCGTGCGTATTATGCATGCAGTTACGTGTCCATGGCATACCGCTTCACCGGAGTGAAAAGGGGACTGCATGTCTCCTCGACACATTGCAGGGAGACTGCTGGGCGTCAGACTCCGCCGCCAGACCGCCCGCCGCACCTGTCTGCGCCTGCTCACCGCCGAGGGTGCCGATCAGGGCGCGAGCACCCTGCTTCGCCTAATGTGTCTGCTCGCCCTGCCGCCCCCGCGCACAGCCGCACCGTAACGGGGTGTTGATGGAGGCATAGCATGACGAATGTGTATTTGCACCCGCTAAATGATTTGCAACGGGAGCTGTTATTAGTTAGTGGCCGGGGGCGGCGTCACCGCGCGCACGCGTGACGGGTGCGCGAGCCGCCGCGCGCCGGTGACGCCCCACCAACGCGCGCGCGGGCGCGTCACGTTACGCCAGGCCGTGCCACTGCCAAGGTTACTCATGGCGCCCCTGTGCGGTGGCGAGCAGCCGACCGCGAGGTCGCGGTAAGAAGCCGGCGCAAACAAACACGGCGCGAGCAGACACGCGGCCGCCGCCGAGATAGCTGCGCGGCCCGCTGACCTGACCGCTGCGGCAGAAGTCGGCCCGCGCACGCGAGACAGGCAAGGGTCGGCCAAGGGTGCGGATCGAGGCCTGTCCGCCCGGACCGGGCCGCGGAGACCACGTTTTCAGCGCGTGCAGCCCGACGGAGCGACGGTGGTATGTAAAGTGGCGATCAAACTGGGTCCCACAGATAACATTCAAAGAAATAAAACATTTTCTCTAGAACAAAGGCAGGGGATCAATAGGACATGCTGTAATTTGTGGCATAACTGTTGGTCTCCAGATATCTGCGCATTTAGAGCCCATTCACCATACCATACCATTCAAAACAACTGGAGCTGTAGCGTAATACGATGAAACAGACTAGAAATAGCCCTCGATGTTTAACCACAGGTATCAAAATTCCCTTTACCAAAAATCTACATATTTTTCCTGAATGAGTGTGGGCTGTGCATCAACCAGTGTGTGGGCTACGGTTGTCGTATGCAAATGTATTGAAGACGATGAAGTTTCAGTTCCACCAGGGTGTATGGCGCTCGACAACTCCCGAGGCAATTCGCGCTCTGGAGAACGGTCGGCGCACAGAGCACCGTACTGGGCGAGGCCATCTCTCCTGCCCCGCAGAGGATGAAAACCGGTTTTCCTCGGTATGATATAGATTGGCCCGCTGCGCAATGGACCAGCTCCGGATGTGGCGGCAACAGACAGTTCGCTATCAGGAAAGTGCAGCAAACAACCAGTTCATGCGGAATCTCAGATGGGTAATTCGTGCAGTTCCAGATGTTATATTAGCAGCATGCAAAGTTGGATATGGAGCATTTATAAGTAAATCCCTCTTCTTATGAGCTCTCAATATTTATCGCCATTACTGTTATGTAACTCTAGCGTGGGCAGCCCAGCGCGCGATGGCCTACGTTCCCTCGCTGCGCCAGCCTTTTCGGGGAAGCGTTCCGGCTGGCATCATCGGGCCCAGCACCCGACCCTGGACGGTGTGTTGTTTTTAAGGCAGAGGCATTTTCCCTAAAAGCCAAGCCTGATGGACGAATGTGACCGCACTCACAGTGTAATTGTTGTTGCCGAACAAAAAGACCCGGCAATGTTCGATTTCATTTGTTCATTTGTAGCGAACTGGCCACTGCCAATCTCATCTGAAGGCGGTCCGAGGGTGGTCCGCCGATAGCCGAGCTACCCCTGCCGCTGCCAGCTCCACATCGCACGGCGAGTATAGGTACCAAGAGGTCCAGCGGCCACCTTCCCCTCCTCCCAAAAAACCCTGACGTCCTCGACAGAACGCCGTGACGTCACCGGCAGCGAAATGCCAACGCCGCAGATCTGCGTGCGTCGCCCAGGTCCGGCCCGGCCCGTGCGTCATAGCTCAGCGGTGCGTCCGCCGCCTGACGGGGTCGTCGTCACTGGAACCGGATCAGTCGGCGCGCCAGGCGTGCGCGCTGCCGCCCGCCGGCCGCCGGCCACGTCGCGACGTCACGGGGTACAACAGCCGTGCGTTGGCCGCTGCCCAGCCCTCCTGTTTACGTAATGGCCGGCGGCTGTTTACGTAAGCCGGCTGGCGGCCGTGCTGGCGATTCAGTGGTTAGGCGGCAGCCGTGATTTAGCTGCGACGTCTGTATTAGCGCCCAGACAGGCATTCCAGCGCTCGGCGATGGGCTGACAGCAGCTTACGTCCGTACCCGCTGACCATGCAGGGAAGCAGCTCTTCTGCACACAGCAGTCGGCAGAGACCGAGAGGCATCTGCAATGCGCAATCGGCGACTCACAGGCGCGAAGAGTACCAGCGGGTGGGCTGGGTGGTGCTGGAGGTGAAGATTCTAGAGCTTTGAAGAAACAAACCGAAAGATTGCGTAAATGTTTCTGATGAAATGAGAAATATGTTTTGAGAACTACACTAAGCTTTCTGGATTTTCCCACCGGATGGAAACTGCTGAATCGTTCTCGACGCGAGCTCAGCTAGAGCTACCATTTTCGTTCCCCCTTTTTCGGCCAATTTCGGCCAAACTGAAGCTTGGCAAAATTTCGGTCAAGCTCCATCTTCACGATAAACTACTCCTCCGCCACTCTGCTGCGTAAAAGCAAAGCCACGCGCCAAATATTCCCGAAATGGGACATACGTCATTTTGCCTCCGAACGATAGATCTGCCCAACTGCAACACGAGTTGCGAACTTACCCACCAGCCCTCTGACTGGATCCCAGTCATGTCCGTGTCAACCTATCGAAGCAAGCCAGGGCACTCGCGCCGCTCGCTGCGCGGACACCCAACACCCCCCACGTCACAGCATTCCAGACCTCGTCAGACGACCATGGGGCGCCGGCTCCGGTGGCGCGCCCGGCCCGCCGCGACCCCGTGACGACCGGGCCAGGTCCGACCCGCGGCCGTCATCACGTGCCACGTGCCACGTGCCGGCGGCGTCGCCGCGGGCGTCATTATCCCGGTCCGCGACACGCCATCAGCCGATCGGCCGGCGGAAAGTGTAACGCACCGATTACGCGGCGCCGATAATGAGCCCCCTGGCCAGGTCGCGTCGGTCCGCCGCCGAATTGCGGAAATCCGTCACGGAGCGTGCCGCCTGCGCAGTCGCGGTGTACGGAACAAGCGGCGTCGGTGCTGAGACGCGTGCGGAGGAATTCGAGAAGCCCGGCTGACGACTGCCGGCGCAGAAGTCACGGAAGTTCGTCACTGAACCGCCGGAACTGATGCAGATGATAGGAAAATCCGGCGCCCACCGCCAGAACCGACGCGAAAGTTGAGGAAATCCGTTGATGATTCCCTGGCATGCAAGTACGGCCTGCGGAGCAACCAAAGCTGATTTCGAGATGCGTGCAGAGGAATTACGAAAACGCGTCACCTGTTAACTAGAACCGGAGCGGAGGCTGCTCAAATATGC